GCCTCTGCCATGGAAGGTGACATTAATTTTCCAACTGACGGACAGATCCTACTCTAAAGACATATCATCTCTGTCCTCTGAAGTCCCCCAGAAGATCACACAGAACAGAGGAGGGGTGGTGCCCACCCTGGCAAGACACAAACCCAGGCCCATGGTGAGCTATCTGCCAACAGTGGGATGCAGGGCTGCATTGCCAGATCATAGGTGAGAGAGGAGGAAAGGGAAGGTCAGAACCCATTCTGCAGGACCTCCCGCCTGGGGACGCCAGTGTCCTTGGCTTCGGTGAGAAGCTTCCTCTTGAGGCTGCCTAGAGTTGGTAAGAACCAGTGGTCCCACTTGCTCCACACCAGGAAAGAGGCCACTCTGCTCTGACTGGACTCCCCTCGTGGGAGCAGAGCTGAGTCTTCCTCCACTTTCACAGGCTCTGGCTTTGTGTCCTGTCCTTGAAGCACAGAATTCTAGAGCAAGCCATGGGTGTGGTAACCTGCTGGGGAGGGAGCCCCCGGGGCTCTCTGCTGGGCATCCTAGGACCCGGCCGGACCCTGCGGGCCATGAGCACCACAGCGCACTCTCACCTTGAATCGGCCCCGCCGGTGTCTGGTTTGTGTCTCGAGTCTTCCTGGCGCTCTTATCATTCTAGCACTGGGGGACTAGAGCTCCGAGCTTTTCTTAGACATCTCCTAGCCACCGGGAGCAGCTGTGGATGGGGGGGTCTGTGACTGTTCAGCACAGTACCTCCCGAGCCACACGTCTCGGTCCGCCACTGACAGCAGCGTGAACTTTAGGTCCGTGGTGAGGCGCGAGGCCCTTGAGGCTGACCTTTGTGGCCTGTGGAGGATCTGTGGAGAGCCACTCGTGTCGCGGGCGGCCTAGAGGTCAAGGTCCTTTCCTCTCAGCCAGTCAGATAAAGGCATCGGCTTCTTCCCAAAAGAGAACCTCCGCTCCTCCGCCTTAATTAGTAGCTCGTTAACGTGCAGCAACTCATCACTCAAGGAGAAAGGTAGCCCTCGAGTCTTTAGAGAATGAAATGATTTCAAACATCACGTCTCCTTTTGTGCTGCAGGTATTTTTAGAAGCATTGAGGACTCCCCACACCGCACCCCACAGGGTAGATGCTGGGTACTCACATGGGAAAACGGGACCCAGGGACAGTGTGACATGGCCAGGAACGCATGCTAGTCAGGCACACAAGTGAAATGGCACTTTCTACATCGTTGGTGTGTGTGCTGTGTAAAGTAAGTGTTAGAAGTGACGACCCATCAGAATTGGTCTAGAAATGTATTATTTGAATTACTAGTATCGTTAGAAAGACTCACTAAGCATTAGAGAGTTATTTGCCTCTTCGGCTGATGGTTTCCTCGAAACAGAGAAGTGGTTCAGTGTGACCAAGGGCCCGGGACCCGCACATGTGGCCAGGGGCATCACCGCCTGCCCCGCCAGTGTGGCTGCTTCCGTGGTGCTGAGTGTGACAGCCATAGAGTCACAGGTCTGTCTGTGTTTGTCTGCGGTGAAAGGCAAGTTCTCGGCGACCTCAAAGCTGAGTTGGGGGGACAGGTGTGACTGGTGTGTCAGTGTGTGGATTCTGGTGGAGATGCAGGCGGCGGTGGCCCACTCAGTGTTTGCAAGAAGAAATGCAGCACCAAATCTGCCCCACAGTCTCATTTTCCAAGGGATGCTAGAAACCATGGGTTCTTGTTGGAATCTCAGATTAATTCTCCTTGGTGGGAAGGGCACACTGTTACTAAACAAAAACCCATCTGCGAACTCAAGCAAGATTCCAGGCCACAGATACATGCATCTGGCTCTGAATGTTACTGGAATGGTGCTGCCTCCTATGCAGACGCGATGTGGCCAGGATTTGGTCTTGCTGTTGCAATGCATTCCCACAGGTGGGGTTTGGGAGTGGGTGGGTAAGGAGACCTTCATGTGTCCCCAGTCCTCTGCAGGACCTGACCAGCTGGCTTGGATTCTTCCTGAAAGGTGACAGGAGGCTGCAGGCCTGCCAGGGGGTTCTCTGCTCCCACTGGAGGCAGGAGGCATGCGCTGAGCCGTCCCCGAAGCTGCATCCCCAGCGTCCTACTGTGTCACAGCACTTGTGCTTCGGTTTTGCTTCACGAATGGAGAAGTTTACAAACCAGTGGGCATTGGTGCGTGCCCTGTGAGAACCTCACCCACCCTTGCCTTTCAGCAGTGTGCTGCCTTGGTTCAGACCAAGACCTTGGATGCCCAGGCGAGCTCTGTCCCAGATACCTGTACACTTTGTGCATTTCCTGCGGGGCATTCAGATGGGCTTGCTGTCCTTCCATGCACGCTGCTCTGTCTTTCTGGAGTCTCTCCGTAGTTACAGACAGATGCACTCAGATTGTTTCTTCTGCTTGTGAAGCAGTAGTTTGAGAAGGTTACTGGCCTGGATGTCCTGGGGACCCACCCAGTGGCAGGTGTTGTGTGTTGTGTTGTCCTCAGGGACCGGAAGGTGGGCACACAGGCAGGTGGTGAATTTATTTTGGATTTCTCAGGTGCTTGGCTTTTCCATCAACCTAAAGCTGGTGGTGCACACCTGTCATCCCAGCTCTTGGGAAGCTGAGGCAGCAAGGTCAGGAGTTTGAAGCCAGCTTGCGGAACTTACTAACTTAGAAAGACCCTGTCTCAAAATCAGATCTTTTTAAAGGACTGGGGACGTAGCTTCATGTGAAGGCCCTGGGATGAAGCCTCGGTGTCACTGGAGACAGAAAGCAGAGCTGTCTGTAGACAGAGCCCACACTTGTGGGCCTGCCGGGGTCCGCGTGGTGTTACAGTGAGGAAGGGACCCTCTCCTTTGCATTCTGCCAGCATGGCAAATGTCCCCACAGGCCGGGCAAGCACAGGGGAAGCCAGCATCAGCACTGGGCCACCATAGAGAGAGGTCACCTTGCTGCTCGCACAGAGCTCCTTGCGCTCTTACTCTTTTTCCATCTTACCCTTCTCCTTGATCCCATATAAAACATGGCAGCGTCCTGCAGCCTCCGTCTGCTGGGAAGCCCTGTGATGGAAGAGGAACCAGCCTGCAGGAGCCCAGGAGCCACTCTTGGGAGCCACCTGGTGCCCAAGCGCAGCCCTGATGGGTAGAGGTGTGCAGTAGCTGCTGCCCCATGGGAAAGCAAAGTGCAGGGCGAAACGCAGGCACCAGGGCTGGCAGGCATGGGCCAGCAGGGAGGCGCACAGCCAGCCTGAGGGGGCTCTCCAGGAGAGAGGCTGGGTAGACAACCCCATCTCACAGCCCATGGTGCAGCGTGAACCCAGCGAGCATAGCACCCTGCAGACACGAGCACTGCACCCACTCCCAGGATGCCTCTGCTGTGGGTGCGGAACAGCTCTCCACACCCGGAGAGCAGCTCTGTGGTACCACCCAGGGGTGCAGGAGCAGCGCCTGGGTCACTTGGTGGTGGTGACCAAGGGGAAGGGGCCAGACTGAGACCTCTGACTGCAGCCGCGGATACCTGAGCACCTCTGCAGTGGGGGAGAGTTCTGGTTACAGCCACTGTTTCCTGTTAGTAATTACTTCCTGGGTCGTAATTTTTGCCAAGCTGTGTAGTGGGTCTGCTCTCACACTGTAGTGCGCACCCGGATCCCCAGGAGGGCTTAAGAAGCAGGTGCCAGGGTACTGGGTTCAGACGCACTCCAGGGCAGCGTCTCTACTGTGGGTCCCTGGGCCGTGCGATGCGCAGAAGGGTCTGTGCCTGCAAGTCTTCCTTCCATGACACATCTGGCTTTTTTTCTGAAACCAGGTAGAGTTGCTGATGACTAGTTTCCCTGTGACATTCAAAGCATACCCAGTTTCGACAGTGGTATGAGATGGGCATGTATTTTTTTTCCAGGGTAGAAGTGCATTTTTAGTAGCAGGCCCTTTATCTTAACCATGTGATGGTGCCATCTATAGCCTTGAATGACTAACTTTTCACTGAGAGGGCTTATTTGCTGGGGGGAGCCCTGGTTCCTACCCCTGGCTGCTCATTTGACTGTAGAGCGCTTTTGAAAATGCATATTCTCCTAAGCCCCATCTCCACATCTTTTGAATCAAAATCAGGAGCCCGATTTTCAAACCTCTATTTTCACAAAGCTCTGTGGGAAATTCTGGTAATTGGCCAGATTTAGGAACCACTAATGGGCCGTGCATTTAAACTTGGTACTGTGAAAACCTTCCATCGGAACAATTTACAGCTTAATTGGTTCTGAACTAAGACAATTGGAGAAAAGTTTTATTTAAATTAAAATAAAACAGTACCCTTCATTCCTTGCGTGTGGATCCAAGAATGATTCCCAGCAGCAAGCATGATGGGCTGCGCGTCAGAGGAGAGTTCTTCATTACATTTTGGGGTCTAAAATTAGTGTGATTGGTAATAATTTGTGTGGGTGTTGAGCAACTGATCCAAATCATTGGGTTTACAAGGGAAGCTTTTGTCATCCTGCTGCATGTGCGCTACAAGTCACGAAGGTGATTTTTCTTGGGCTCAAGCTTTTCAAGGTTAAGTGTGAAGTTCCCTGGCCTAAGCCTGCGCTTCCGTGAGAACCGTCCGGGGACTGTGGTGCGCGTCGGTCAGAAAGCCTGGCTGTACCCCCAACAGCCAAGTCCCCGTGGGTGAGCCCGTGCCATCCCACGGCCCAGCTGGCACAGCCAGGCTCCAGTTCCTGCTCCCGGCCTGCCATGGTGCCCTGCCTGGGGCTGGCTGGGTCTGTCGCCATTGGAGATGCTGATAGGGTCATGCACCTTTTGCAGTGCTTTGTACTCAGCCCTCAAAGTTGCTTGACCCTGCTCAGTCGAGCACCACCGTGACTCACGTCACCTCTGTGCTCCCCTCGACCTCAAGCCATGGGATGACTTTGCTCGCTATGTAGGCGGGACGGCGATGGTTTTCGGGGGCCAGGTACGTCACGTAGCAGCCTGAGGCCTTGCAGACTTAACTGGCGCTGGCTTCTGTGCTCTGCAGACGGCCGTGGCGCTCACCCAACTTGTTTATTCCTAGGGGATGTCACTAGTGCTCCGGGGTGTCAGACGGCAAGTCGCATCAGCCTGGTCCCCTTCACCGGTCGACCGGACGGCACACACCAGCGCTCCTTCTCAGTCTCCAGTGCTGACCAGTGGAGCGAGGCTACGGCCATTGCAAACTCGGCCATCAGCAGTGGTAAGAGGGGGTGCAGCCCCATGGACCGCGGCCGCCTCCAGGTCCTCCGCGTAGCCAGGGGCTGAGCATGGCACCCAAGCCATCCATGTGGAGCGTTTGGCCCTGATGGGCCACCTCGCCTGCTCCATCTCCGCAGTTCCTGTCTGGCTGGAGTAGACACTGTCCCCAGTGGCCAGAAACCGATGCTCCAGCTCACTCGGAGTTACAGGAGGAGGAGATGGAGGGGCTGAGGGTCAGCGTCAGCTGCTGTGTCCCCAGGCACACTGCCCAGGGCGGTCCACATGCCACCATCAGGGTGCACTGTCTGTTGTGAGGGCTGATTCCTTCTGTTTGTCAGGATTCTGAGGTTCCTAGTGTACCCCCTAAGTCCTGGGGAGTCCCTCTTTAACCCTGCACCCCTATTCGTCTTCCCACATTTTTAGACAAGTGGGTCCTGTTCTTTTGGGGACAGCAATGCACACTGGAAACTGCCTGACGTGTGCGTGGGAACGTGAATTATGCAGCGTGGCGGGCCTACTGCCTGGCTGCAGCCAGCTTTGCCTGTGGCGTTTCGTCTGTGGCCTGCTCACCGGTATTTAAAGGAATTCCCACTGTTGTCTGTAATCTATCAGACAGGGTTTTAGAGCAATGTTAGCATAATTTGTTCTAATTAAAAGATTCAGCATCAGGTCCTCCCTGTAGACCCGCCAGCTGCTGCGGCAGGGCTCCGGCGTCCGTAAACACGGTCCCAGTTTCTAGTTGCTCCACAGTGCTCCCCCACGGCAGCCACGCAAAGGCCTGATGGGAGGTGTGGGGCTCGAGGCCGGGAGGAGGAGAAGGGAATGGGTGATGGCAGCTCCAAAGGATGCCACACGCATGCAGATCAGAAGAGCCACGGCACAGAGGTAGAGCCATGCCTAGTGGCCCGGTCCAGCACGCTCCCACTTCCGGCCAGGGCTCCAGAGAAAGCTCAGCCAAATGACAAGCACCTGCCACCCATCCCTGCGGGAACTCTCGCAGCCTTCCTCCCTTCCCTGGGGAATCCTGGAGACACCTTGAGATCCCGCTTCAGCAGGTTTAGTGCTTTCCCTCCCCAGCCTGTGGCCCGTGCGTGTCCCTTCGTCCTGAGCCTCAGTGTCCTTGACTGCTCGGTAATCAATACCAGGGGTGCCCAGCACATGGCCCCTGGCTTCCTTCATTGAGCAGTGATTACTTTCACCACGATTGCTGTGTTTGGAAGGAGCAGCTCATTCACCTACCTCGTCGTTTTGTTTTCAAGTACTTTCACTCAGTTGGCGTTACTGTCCAGTGAGCTTCTGTTCTGCCGCTGGTGGGCAACAAGAGCTCCGACGGGGAGCCCCGGACCTCAGGATACATGAGCCAGTGCTGCAGTGACACACATTTGTGTCCCCACCTGCAGAGTCAGTCCTGCTTCGTGTCCGTGCCCTCGAGGCACCGGCCCACTTAGGAGCAGCATCTCCGAGTTCTCCTTAGCCACTCAGGAGCTGTCTTCAGGTGGAAGAGTGGACTCAAAGGACGAGTTCCCGAAAGAGACCGACCCCTGCATCCCCAGTCTTCTCCGTACGGTTTTTGAGTTACGTATTAAGCTGCCCGAAATCCACTCTGTACAGTTTTCCGCCTCCGCTCATTGACCCGGTAAAGACTCGCTGGGTGACTTCCCCTCCTGCTAGAGCTGTGCACGTCTACCCAAGAGTGCCATGCAGGGCCACCCCTGAGACCCTGCTCTTTCCAGGCCCTTGGTGTGGCTGGAAATCACTCTCCATGGAAGCTGTTTGCACTCGTGTGTGTACGCCTGTTCAGACGGTTCCTGTGGGAGACTGGAATTACCTAGGTGTGAAGGCGGGCTTCAGATTGGCGAAGCGGTCCATGAACACACGTGCACGTCCTTCAGAGACCTGTGTGCTCCCTGGCCTTGTAAAACCAGAGCCACAAACACAGGAAACCAGAAACACAAGCCACTGCCCTGGTGCCAGCCCACCACAGGCCCGTCCGCGGGTAGTCTGAGGATTGCTGGTTTGTCGGGAGATCGTCCCAAAGAGGATCTCACTTGAGTGGTGCTGAAAGAACCAGGTGAATTTTCTGTGAAACCACAGGAAGAAGTTATTGTAAGCACTGGGGTGATTTGGGCAAAGACGCAGGGGAACAAAAGGGAAAATGGAACACCTGAGAAGCATCCGTGAAGTGAAAGGTGTGAGTCTGGTATGGCCAGAAAGGAGAGGAGAATGGAGAGGCCATTACCACCAAATCCACTCGCATCTAATTTCAAAACAGATCCAGAAAGACAGCGGGCACACTACCTACCCTACCCTGCAGTACGCTTCCCGCAACTGGGACAGGGACCTTCCAGAGCCTGGATTTTCTATCAATTGACGGTGTCCTGCCCAGTATATTTTTGAACAGGGCAGTAACAGTGTGATGATATGAGGCGCTATGGATTATCGCCTCCCTTCTCACAGAGGAGCTGCTGTTCTTTCCGTCTTACCAGGGGAAGACAGATATGGAAGGGTTAGGTATTCCCTTGTGAGAGCCCGGACCTAAACTCAGGCCTCAGCTTTCCCTCTTCATCAGCTGGCCCTGGAATTGTTCAGAAACCCGCACTCTTGTCCCAGTTCCGACCCATTGGATCCAGTGGGCGTGAACCTGTGTGTCAGTAAGCCCTGCGAGGGACCGTGTTGCACGCTGACATTTGGTGCACAGGCCAAAGTGGCCTCCAGCGTCTCTGGGCCACTGATTGCTAAGTGGAGCCCACACCCTCTGGCCACCCCCGTCTGCCTGTTTACTGCTGTCCCTGCCTTTAGCACCTTCATTGGCAGTGGCCAGACCCCAGCCATTTGCAGTGATTGCCACGTTGCAGGATCCCATGGAGAACTTCGATAAAATGTACCTGTGTGCTGGAATTCCAGGTCCTTGCCTTCGCCTCCGCATGTGCTCCTCTGCTTGGAAAATAATCACTGAGGACACAAGCTGGAGTGGTACCTTCCCACTGCGCTGCTTTTTACAGTCATTTTATTTCCCCTTCCACCCTTGCCCATCTCTGGATTTCACAGACCAGAGGAGCTCACTCTGCTGGCAGGTAGAGAGGGAAGCTATATTCGGCCTGGGCACATACACATCCATACGCGGAACACTGCTGTTGTCACCAAGTTTTATTACAAAGCGTGATACTAACAGCAGCATCGTGAGTCCGTTTCTCTCCGCCCTAAGCTAGGACTTGGGCTCCGGAGAACTCCTCAGCGCCCCCTCCCTGCGTAGTGGCACACAGGTACCACAGGACAGCAGCCTTTGGCAGCTGTGGGCCACTCCTGGTTAGAGAGATGACTGTCATGGGCGTTTGCTGGGGAAGTGGGAGGCGCTGGATAAATTAAGAGGAGAGGGAAGGAAGAATCCATTCTGTGAAATGGAATGCCCCACTGCTTTATGACTGTTACTGCTGTAAGGTTTTACATTTAAGTACCTGAGGTTTAAAATTAAACGTCTAATATAATTTGGCGTCGCTAACACGAGCCCTGCATCTGCCCTCAGAGAAAATCCGACAGCTCCGTTCAGGGTTTCAAATTGCTGTCTGCTGGCTTGCGAGCAACACAGAGGATTGGATCCCACTCGTGCTAAGTACCACATGCTGCTCCGCGTAATTTTTTAAATGGGGAACATATTCATTCCATGCTTCTGCATTGAAGAGGGCTGTTGGGTAGTACATGAAAAATTAATTTTTTTACATTTTTCCTCACTCTCCTAAGTGTTTGACAGAAGTAATTTTTGCAGCGAGAGAGAATAAAAACCGGTGGCTGTAAATTCCTGTCCCAGAACCTCTTGTGCAGATTCTTTATGAACCCAGAATTGATCTACATGTCAGATCCTGTTGTGGTTGAAACTGTTTATCACTGTAATGGCAGCAGTGAGCCCGGGAACACCAACCTATAATCCTGGGTGAAAGAAATTGGTGTTCGCAGTCAATGAAGGAGCGGCTTAGCTTTATTGATAGAGTCAGAACAATTATCTCCTCAACAACTATTGGCTGAGGGTTTTCTTGAGTCTTATTGGAGGCCTGTAATTTTTTCCTTGGTCCATCATTTACTGTACAGGTGATTCTCTCCAGATGTGGTAGCCAAGAGTTAACGATCCTGGGGGTGGGGGGCCCCTAGGGGGCTGTTTGTAGCACACTAGGTTGTCTCGGTGCACTGGGAGGCAAGATGCCTTTCGGATGCATCTGTCTGCCGGCCTCCCTGAGTGTCTGGGGGAACAGGGCCGCTGCCCTCCACCCTCCCCAGCCCCCAGCCAATGCCAGCCTTGGCTGATGGCCTGAGCCATTTCGTTGCCGTGGCAGCCATGCTTCCCGCCTCTGACTGTCAGGTTGTTCTGATAGCTCCACCCCATCTCCGATTGCTTTGGTCCGACAGTTTATCTTCTGCCTCACTGAATACTGCGTGGCTTCGCGGGACTCTTCAGCACTGCTCCTCAGCCTCACCCCCGCCGCCCCTGCCAGGCTGCCTGCCGCCTCACCAGCACCGAGCCAGACACTGTGCCGCTGTCCCCACAGAAGCAGCACCACCTGCCTGTGTGCGTGCCTGTGTGTGTAGGTGTGCTTTGTGTGTGGTGTTTCCTTCTGCTCACTTAGTCACATATGTTCCTGCACCGGTCTAATTATGAGACAGCAGATCCTGAACGGAAAGCATTTGAGTTCCTGATAACTTTCAAATATTCTTTTCCCGCCATGGAAATGATTTGCACTGCTGTTTGAAGGACGGGAATTGGAAACATGTGTCTCAGCTTTGGTAGCAGTCTCTCCTGTGCCTCCTTCTGTCTCTCCCTTCCCATAAAGCCAACCGTGGAAAGGTCTGCAGCCTCACAGTCGAGAGCAAATAACAGCCAGCACACCTTAGGTGGGGTTCGAGGACACGGACTGCCCATTGGTCGATTTTGATTTGCGTAGTGTGAGCGTCCTTCTCATTGGAGGTTATGCTGACAATTTTAGCGCCTGACCAGCAGGTGGTGGTGGTGTG